AGAAAGTACCCCATACCACAAAAAAAAAAAAAAAAAAAAAGCAAAAATAAATCAATGCTAATATTTATAATTATCTTTATAAATATAGATTTAATTTAAATGAGCTTTATAATTACAGAAATGAATTATACAGAATGGCAAAGTAAGCAGATGCTAAACTATAGGAAAAAATAATTTTTGTTTCTTATGGTATGAATCTACTGACAAGTAAAGGTAATCAAGTTGATATCCTATGTTGAACTCTACTAGAATGTTTACAGCAGTTTAAGAAAAAAATATTACAATTTATCAGCAAGCTAGACAATGTACTAATTTAAACTTCCCATTAAATAGAACCTAGAAACAGTAAAGTTAAATTCTAAGTGAAAACTGTCTGTTTATAGACAATTTCTTTCTTTTATGCTTATTAAAAACTTTATGAATTCTAATGAAACTAAAGTAACTAATTTGTTTATTTCATTTTTTAATTGAAAAAGCAAAGGTAACAGCAATATAATAGATACAAATTGTAATCATAAGTAATACAAATCTCTTCCTTTAAAAAAAAGAAAAAAACATAAAAGTGGATTACAATTTTGAAAAATTTTCAGAAGAAGCAAGTCTCATTCATGCCACAATGAATCAGGTTGGTATAATAGCCTTGAAGAAAAAGGAACAATTTTCTGTAACAATCATTTGGCCCTTTATCTATCTGGTTACTGGTTTAGCTCAGAGGTTGACCTGCCTTTAGTCAAGTATTAAAAGACAACAAAAAACCTATTGTATTTTCTGAAAGATTTAATGTTATTTGAGCACAATTTTGAAGTCTTTTTGACATCCAGAATTTATAATTAAAGCCCTTAGGACTTTCTCACCCTTTTAAAATAAGCATACCCTGAACCAAAAGAATGTGTATTATGAAACTAAGGACAAACCTTTGAGATAATCCCTGAGGCCAAAAGGAACAAGAATTTTTATGTTTAGATTGTCATAACCACAGAAAAGAGCCTATTATTAATGCTATAAGAAAGTTCACCTTCATGTGTGCCCCCTCTACTATAATTTTTATGCCATTATTCAAAATTCTAATACTTTAAAATTTTTATATTCATGATATTCAAAGGATTCATAAGGAAATTTATATAACAAAATGACCAATCCCCAATTTATAAATCCTCAAACACTGAGTCCTTAGCCACCCTACCAACTCTATTCCTTTCACTCTAACCATCTTCAGTATCACCCTCTTACCTTCCTTCCTTCCATCCAAACTTCTTTAAGATCCTTCAAACTACAGCTCCAACCTACTTCTTTCTCTCATCTCCCACTATTCTACCAATCTGCATCCCATGTTCTAGACTCAGACTACTAACTATTCTCTGAGACTACTAAGCACTTTCATCGGCTCTGAGAGAGGAAAACCCATGTTCAAAATATGGCTCCATTATTTACTAGTAATGTGATCTTCAGCACAATACTTAAACTCTCTGTACCCCCTCTCCATATGCAAAACAGGGATTAAAATGCCTATCTCAAGAGTTGTGAAAATTATACTTTTGATTAACACAGAGATAGCCAATACAGATACCACAAACATCCAACTAATCACCTTTAAAAGCATGAATAAGACACAAAGTACACAGGTACTGAAACAAGATTTTAAAAGGAAGTTTAAAAAAAAAGTTTTATTTATACCATAACAATCAGAACAAAGACACATAACTAAGTGGTGCAGTCACACCCTAACAAAATTTAAGAGGGCTAAAACTGGTCGTACCCTCATTTCCATACTCTCTACCCAACAAAACAAAACAATGGAAAATAATGCCAGTTCTCCCGCTTTTATTTTCTAAATTAACACCAGCAACTGCTCAAGGCCAGAATACCGCAATTCATCCTTGCCTGCTCTTTCTAACCTCACTTCCTACACGAAATTAGTCCCTCGAATATTTTACTTCTAAAACATCCCTTTTATCTACCTCCCTCAGTTGCTACCTACTCTAAGCACTCATTATTTCTCACCCAAATTGCTGCTACAGCCCCTAAAAAATGGTTTCCCAGCCTCAAGTATCTCCTGTCAATATTCCACATCACTACCACAGTATTCGGCTGGCTGTCTACTGGCCATAGAATAAAATCTTACCCTTACAGTCTAGCTTACAAAGCCCTCATTAACCCAGGTCCAATCTGTTTTTCAAACCTCATTTCTAGTCATTCCCCATGTCTACTTACCTATAACAGATTACTTGCTACATTACCCAACATGCTCAACACCTTTATATCTCTGTGACTTTGTCTTTTGCTACAAATGTTCTTCCATCCTCTTTCTACCTGGTAAACTACTATTCATCTTTTAAGATCGAACTCAAATGTGTTCAAACTTTACCGCTATTTCCTAATGCTGAATTAACTGTTTTGCTATCTATATTCCTGAAACACTTTATAAATAAATGCCTACACTGCTTTCACATTAAATTATAATTACATAATTATCTCCCCCTTTAGAGTATGAACTTACTGAACACAAAGATCATATATCCTCAGCAAGTAAATAGTTCACATAGAACAATTACTATTTGCTGAATTGAGCTAAAGTTCAGAAAATAAACTATAAGTCCATGAAGCGAGGTCCCAAACTTCATCAATATTTTCAAATGCAGCAGAACTGCTCTTTGCCCAACATGATCAGGATCAGTAGTTGATTACTTAGAAAAGTCTGTTAAAGAAGGGAAACATACATACACTCTCCTTAAACACTTTATTTTGACTTAAAGCATATGCAGTAAGTGTATAGTCATTCTCTAATGTAATAACACACAGTCAAGGTACCGTTTTTAATGCGAATTGTGCTTCCTTCTTGTATAAACCGTACCTGTCATTTATACTGCTCAGTTTCCATCTTTTTAAAATGGACCAAGGACCTGAGAACTAGAATCCTTCTAGAGGTTTTTAATTTTTCCCAATCTTATAAACTACTTAATTAAATTAATTACAATAACAAGTACAACTGGCATAAGAAGGTTTGATTACCAGTACAACCAACTCGATATATAACTGAACTGGTGAGAGAAGTACAGAGGTATAGAAATCTTGTAACGGACAAGATTCATCATGCATTCATTACACTTCGATCATCAGTCAGTACATGTTACAGAAGGACTGGGAAATATCAGTTACTCCAATGAGTCAGTTAAGCGGAGTTTTGTTAAGAGAGCGTCAACATAATGCAACTAAAGATAGTCCTTCGTGAATATATCAATACATAATAGCAGAATCACTTTCAGATGAAATGCTCTGAGCCAGCTTTCTTATCTGGTCAAGAAAAAAACGGCATATTGTAAGCCCTAATATCTGGACTTGCTCTTACCTGTCAATCCTAGCTCCCACTTCTGGACATGATTTTACCTATGGGCCCTCAAGTTGTTCGTATCTTCAAACTTCATAGCAAAAAACATGTATTTCTTAAAATCATGGCTCAACTAAAATCTTGTTCCAGAATCAAGATACCATCTTCCGCACCTTCTTTGTCCATCAGTTTCTTTTAATTATCCTACCTGCCTGCTTGGACTTGTGACCACGTATTCAACTTGCTCTGTGACATCTACAATCTCCTTTCCCTTCATTGCCTGACCAGACTTTTGAATAACAACACGGACTTCAGAATAAATGTAAGCTGAGTGTCTTCCTGCTTGGTGTCCAACTGCCTGTCCTAAACCAAATATCTAAGTATAGTCAGATTTCTACATACCTGCACACTTGCCCATTCTTGCAGATTTGTTTTCAGTTTATCTTCTCAGTCTATATCCTAACTTTTCTACTTTGTCTTAGCACTCCCAATTCTATCATCTTTTCAGCTAAAGTTCATAGCCATTCATGGTTGCTAAGACTACATACATACAAAGTACAATGAATACAATTAGAATAAAAAAGCAATGGCTCCAAGGCACTAAAAGATCCCAGAAAAAGCCTAAATTATGTCTGTACATGCTACTTGCTATGATATAATAAATGAACTTAGGTATTTTAGAAAAGTTTCAAAAACAGGTGAAACAAAAGATTTTCTGGGTTTTTCTTAGTTAATAAAGAAATTAAAGGAACTAGAATACTCCATTCCTCAGGAATTTGAATTTTCTAAATATTTACCATATATAAATATTTTAAAGAATGATAAATTTTATTATAATCATATTTTAAATACGAAATAATGTGAGTATAGCTTGGCTATCAGGTTTGAGAGAAGAATAAAAAGATAACTGTTTAATTCTCTTAGTCTTGTTCTAATTTTCATAGTCTCTAATTTTTGTATTATTTCCAAACCTATGGTGAGTAATATTATGGCAAGTTTTTAAAAAACAACATTAATTATTTTAATTGACGTATAACAAATTCAGACTTTTTAACATCTGTGAAATCTTATTAAAAAAAGCAGAAACAATACTTTCTTTTGATGAACGCTTCTTTTTGACTAATCACAATAGAAAGAATAAGCACTAAGATTACTCTAACTTCAGATTCTAGAATAACATTGAATAATAGAATGCCACTTCAACAGTCAACTGCTTCAAAGTATTTTCAAATTACTGCATGCACAGAAGCATAAATGATGATAAACAACATATGGCTTTAGTCACCATGGATACAGTTCATGGAAACCCTATTTCTTAAAAAACTGAATATTTTTTTCTTGTTTACTCTAATACATCATCAACATATAGATGATATATATACATACAGCCTTCCTTCCCAGCTATAAAGTAGTAGTACCTCTATTAGTCATATTTTTCCTAAGACAAAATGTTTATTACTTAAGTATGTCCTTTAAGTGCAATGCAAAATAATTAGGTAAACATCAGCTACCGCAACAAAACCTGTCAGACTTTTATATGAGATATTCTCCTAGGCATCTAAGATAAAAGCACACAGGTTAGCACACCAAAAGTATAAGCATTAAAAACATACCAATTTCTTCCACTTCTTCCAGGAAATCATTATATTCTCTTAGACTAGGAAAGTCTTCTTCCCTTTTATTGTATCTTTAAGAGAAGAAAAAAAGGAACATATTCCATATCATTTGCTTTCAATATTAACTAACTGGTTTGTTTGTTCTTACTAATGCATACATGATACATAAAAAAGGACTGCTTACAGTGTAAAACAGTTTTCTTGACACCAGGTTTGTAATTACAGCAAGAATGTTGTTCTTAAATTCTTATGACTACAGAGAAGGAGTAGAATCAGGAGAGAATGGTACAACATGTAAAATCCTAAGACTTAAGGGAAAAATAAAGAAATTAGGACACTGAAGAAATGGGAAATGAGCTTAAACAAGGTCTATCATTGGAATTATGATATTGTTTACTTCTAATAAATAGAGTCACTAATTTCCAGAAAGCTAAAATTAATTAAAAAGACACCTTCCTGGGATTTCCCTGGTGGCACAGTGGTTAAGAATCCACCTGCCAATTCAGGGGACACGGGTTCAATCCCTGCTCCAGGAAGATCCCACATGCCGTGGAGCAACTGAGCCCATGCACCACAACTACTGAGCCCACGAGCCCATGCTCCGCAACAAGGGAAGCCACTGCAATGAGAAGCCCGTGCACCACAAAGAAGAGTAATCCCCACTCGCTGCAACTAGAGAAAGCCCGAGTGCAGCAACAAAGACCCAACACAGCCAAAAATAAGTAAATAAATAAATAAATTTTTAAAAATAAACAAATAAAATGTTTCTCTAAAAAATTAAAAAATAAATAAATAAAAAGACACCTGCCTGTTTTTCATGACAGTTACAGTCTAAAGGATGCTAGATCAAGAAAATCTATAAATATTATAAGTGTGCCTGTGAAGAATTAGGAAACGAGAGGGCTTAATGAAAAAGATAAGAATCTAAGAGAGACTATCTCCCATAAGCAATCCAAAAACTAAAAGAGTAGCTTGGGGTATTGATAAAGTAACACTTTATCTAGTAAAGAACCTAGACAGATGCTGCTAAAGCATTGGTGACCAAGGTTGAAATGTAGACCACCTAGATAGATAGATATTAATTCTTTAAATCTAAAAAACAATAAAACTAACATACCATTGTAAAGCAATTATACTCCAATAAAGATGTTTAAAAAAAAAGAACAAAAAAATAAATAAATAAAAAACAATAAAGTGGCTTATAACAAAAGTACAGATAAAATGAAATCCAAAACTATTAACAAAGAGTAAAAAAAATAAATCATAAGTGAAAAAGAATATTAGAAATATTTATGTACTCACATACACACAGAGAGATCTATCAAAATAAATTGTAGCTAATGCTGATTTTTCTCTAATAGCTTTCAATCTCAACTTAAATGTTACCTCCTCAGGCCTTACCTTACATCACTGACTCACAACAACATTCAGTCCCTAACTTCATAGCATTTTTCTCAATGTATGATCACATATTTGTTTTGTTTGCCTGTTTTACTGTCTATGTCTATGTTATCCAAGCTACTGTACTGTAAGACTTTCGAGGGCCTAATATGTATAACACTGTTCGAAAAGAGTAGGTACTCATTATATATTTACTAATTAAATTAAAGAATAAATAAAGCAAATAAATTGTGAAGCCATCAATTTGGAGGATTTACTCTTCTCTGGGAGTTCCCCGATGGCCTAGTAGTTAGGATTCTGGGCTTGCACTGCCATGGTCTGGGTTCCATCCCTGCCTGGAAGGGAACTGAGATCCTGCAAGCCACATGGAGTGGCCAAAAATTTTTTTTTTAATTTTTTAATAAGAAACATTTACACTTCTCTAACAAAGATTAGATAATTAGGGACTTCCCTGGTGGTCCAGTGGTAAAGAATCCGCCTTCCAATGCAGGGGACGGCAGTTCGATCCCTGGTAGGGGAACTAAGATCCCACATGTGGTGGGACAACTATGCCCGCACGCCACAACTACTGAGCTCGCACGCCTCATCTAGAGAGAGCCCGCGTTCCGCAAACTACAGAGCCCACGTGCTCAGGAGCCTGCATGCCACAACTAGAGAAGAGAAAAACCAGACGCCACAACTAGAGAGAAGCCCGCACGCCACAATGAAGAGCCTGCGGGACGCAACAAAAGATCCCACATGCCTCAACTAAGACCTGACGCAGACAAATAAAAAAAAGATTAGATAATTAATATTACTGAGTTCTCTAAGACCTTAATAAATTTTTTAACATTGAACAATTACATAGATGAATTTATACTTATTCACTTGTCAAACTGCCCACAGTTCTACAAGTAAATAATTATATCAATTACAGAAATAATTGTTAAAGTCCTCTTTGTGAACTGAAGCATTCAAACATTAACACTTACATCTTTAGCACTTTTTTCCGAATCTCAACTTCCTTGTCAACGGTAGGATCTTCAAAGAGTTGTACCCTGAAGTTGCTCTTTCTAAGTGGAGTGCCACACTCAGGACAGTTTCCAGCTCCTCTCACAAAGAGTAAGTCCACGCAACTTTCACACCTGTAAGGAGAAAAATATAACTTTTAAGCTAGAATTCAAATTGGCAACAACTCTGTATATAGTTTGCCTTTGTTTTGGTGTTTGTTTGAGGGGGCTGCGGGGGGGCAGGAAAATTAATCATTGCTACTTAAACTCTTATTAAAAACCTTTGGGAAAAAAGTTCATTTTCATTTGGAGCCTAGTTCAGACATAGGTGTCCCAAGGGTTACCAGTTTACTTTTACAAATTAAACAAATATACAAGTTTTTAAAAATTGATTTGGGATCTGGGAGGACTCAGATAGCAGGACAGGGGGAAGTCAAAGAGGCACGTAAAAGAGCAGTCTAGGGTCAACTCCACTCTCAGTCCAGTATCACCCTTAGACCTGGCAGGGGCCTGCACTTTAGAGAACCCTGCATATCATAATCCCTAAAACAAAAACTTTTTTTTCCCCTTTCAGCCTTTGTAAGGAAGTTTTTTAAAGTTCTGTTAGCAATTGAGTAAGTGGCAGTTACTCAAAAGGGAGAGGTGCTAGCTGAAGGAGGCCCCCAGGCCAGAGGATAAAGAACTGAGAGTGACCTAGTATATGTGGAGAAAGGAGAAAATCACCACAGCTTCTGCCCTGAGAAATCCTAGAAAGAGTGGCTACTTATAAAATCTTTCATCAGTTAAACCTGGCTGTCCTAAATTCACCAAAGTGATTGCTGAGGCAAGCCAAGTTTCCCAAATACCTCCATCCCTTCTTTCCTCCCTTCTGGGGTAGTACAATTTGGGGAAGAACTTAGAACTTCCTGGAAGTCTTGAGTTGGAAAAGAAAGAAGCTGGCAAGGTTAACGAGATTCTTGCGAATTAAGATTGCTGCGAATTGACAGGATCAGTTCATATACTGTTTTAGATGGGTCCAGGCACCACCCAATCATCCCTGTCCCGCCCTGCCCTAGCAGATCCACGCTAGTAATCAGACTAGCAAGTGGAAAGGCTGACCAGAAGAAAGTAGCTGCTTTAGCCTGTGGGTCTTAAAGATTCAGGTTCCTGGTAACTCAGGATGCAGCGTTGGAACTAAGGCTGCACTAAAGATGTAGCTTGATCCATACTTTCAAACATTTAAACATTTTGGTATGTAGTCCTCCAGTTGTAATATTGCCCAACTCCATATGTTAAGGCCATACCAACCCTAATCACTCCTTTCTTAGCACTATTTGAAATTATTTATTTCTTTATGTGTTGATTTTCTGTAACCTCCACTAGAATGGAGGGCAGGAATTTGGCCTATTATTATTCTAAACACATCACATCACAAAAAAAAAAGGGACAAATTCTAATAAATAAGGGAAAAGTTGATTTCTTCCAAATATGTAGTTGACTTATGGAATAAGCTAAATGAGAAGAATGATACAGATAAATAAGTATATTTAAGGTTAGTTATCAGTAAAATACTAACATCGACCTTTGCATATTTCTATCTTAAAGTAGAGGGAAAAAAAATCCATCAAAAAATAGAGGCAAAAAATCCCTAAGAGGGAGAACAGAGATCATAGTTGTCATTATTCAAGATCAACAAAACCCCAGAAAATTCACTTGGGATTGGGAAGATTGGGAGTGGTACATTTTGCCTAATCTTTGCGGTTGGAGGAAATTAAATCCAACTAGAGAAGTTGAAAATGAGCACACTTTAGAACTACACTGACTAAAGACATTTATAGGCAAGGAGCCATCTGAAATACTCAAAACCATCAAGCCATTACATAGAATATTCTATATTTCAAGGTCTTGGAGTCAATAATTCAGTTAACAAGGTAATATAGAACACTTTAATATTTCTAAAAGTCATATTGTAATCTCAGACATATAATTTGTTACCACCGTCAGTTCTACATCTCCACTTTTTAAAAATCTACCTTAAATCATAAGGATTTCAACAGTATTAAGGTCTTTTTAAAATAATTTATTTTCCCATACTTTTCCCTTTCTGATTTTAATTGCTAAAAGAACAAATAATTCTTTTTTTAAAGCTCAAATATAGAAGTATATAGAGAAAAAACTCAAAAGTTCTACTTCATTCTGTTCTACATCTCACTTCCCACATGTAATACAACTGTTAAGTTCCACGTTTACGTGGCCAGATCTTTTTCTACATACTTACAATATATGTATTTACAGATTATATACATGAAAACTAGTCATACAAAAAAAGAACAGAAGAAAAAGTTCCTTATTGCCAGTTCACTTCATCTGGCAGCAGAGCAACCAAAAGAGCAGTATGTGGGCAATCTTTTGCCTCCAAGAGTGCTAGGAACTTTTTCAAACAAAATCTTATATTCTGCAGAACATAGGAAAATTTGCTGAAAAGGCCCAAATCCTCAGTTATTACCCATTCCCAAAGATATTTTTCTGGTTTTCTTTTGTTTTTAAAAACCAGAATGGTGCCTGCCCTCTTTTCTCTCTGAACAACTTATTTTTAGATTTTATTTTCTTCTATCAAGAATATTTAACTGCTTATATTCCTCTGTCAAGATTTTTAATCAGCTTGTTTCTTCTTTTTCCAGAGCTAAGAAGTCAATTAAAAATCTTGACAAAGACTAGACACAAAAAAACCTACAGCTAACATCGTACTTAATGGTGAGAAACTGGAAGTTTTCCAACTAAAATCAGGTACAAAGCAAGACTGTCTCCTACTCTCACTGTCTCCTACTGTCACTACTCCTTTTCAACATGATACTGGAAGTCTTTGCTAATGCAGTAAGACAAGAAAAGGAAATAAAAGATATACAGATTGGAAAGGAAGACACAGAGCTCTCTTTGTTTACAGATGACATGACTGTCTATGTTAAACATCCAAAAGAATCAACCAAAAAACTTCTAGAACTAATAAGTGATTATAGCAAAGTTGCAGGATACAATATACAAAAAGTCTACTGCTTTCCTATGTACCAACAATGAACAAGTGCAATTTGAAATTAAAAACACAATACCATTTATGTTAGCTCCCAAAAATTTGAACGTTTAAGTGTAAATCTAACAAAATATGTACAATATACTGTACAAAATATGTACAATATGAGAAAAACTACAAAACTCCTATGAACAAAATCAAAAAAGAATTAAATAAATGGAGAGATATTCCATATTCATGGACAGAAAGAGTTCACGGGAAGGAAGACTCAATATTTTGAGTTGTCAGTTTTTACCATATTGATCTATAGATTCAATGCAATTCCAATCAAATTACCAGGAGGTTACTGTATGGACATCAACGAACTGATTCTAAAGTTTATATAAAAAGGCAAAAGACCAGAATAGGTATCATAATGTTGAAGGAGAACAAAATTGGAAAACTGATGCTACCTGACTTCAAGATTTACTACAAAACTACAATAATCAAAACAGTGTGGTATTGGTAAAAGAATAGATGAATAGACCAATGGAACAAAATAGCCTAGAAATAGACCCACATAAATATACTCAGCTGATCTTTGACAAAAGAGCAAAGGCAACACATGAAGCAAAAACAGTCTCTTCAACAAACTGGACATCCACATGGAAAAAAATGAATCTACACATGAACCTTACACCCTTAAAAAATTAACTCCAAACTTAACTCACAGGCTTAAATGTAAAATGCAAAACTATAAAACTCCTTAAGTATAACGTAGGATAAAAACTGTATGACTCGGGGCTTCCCTGGTGGCGCAGTGGTTAAGAATCTGCCTGCCAATGCAGGGGACACAGGTTCGAGCCTTGGTCCGGGAAGATCCCACACACCGTGGAGCAACTAAGCCTGTGGGCCACAACTACTGAAGCCCGTGTCCCTAGAGCCCCGTGCTCTGCAACAAGAGAAGCCACCACAATGAGAGGCCTGCGCACTGCCTGAAGAGTAGCCCCCGCAACTAGAGAAAACCCGCACACAGCGACAAAGACCCAACGCAGCCAAAAATAAATTAAATAAATAAATTTTAAAAAAACTGTATGCCTTCGGGTATGGCGATGACTTTATAGATACAACACCAAAGGCATGATTCATGAAAGATATCACTGATAAGCTGGATTTTTTTTTTTTTTTTTTTTTTTT